TCCTCTCCCCCGACCCCATGCCCCGCTCCCTGGCCTTGCCGCCCTAACTCCCCTCCCAAGTCCAATGCCCACCTGCCATGCTGTGGCACAGGACTCCTTAACGTGGGTACCAGGGGCTGACAAGGGCACCATGGAGAGATTGCAGGGGTCTGTGAACTTGGATTTGAGAAAAGATCTTTATTTTCACTAACCTCTAAGTGAAATTTAGCATTTTCTTCAGTCATTTAAAAACATGATTCTGAGAAGGGGTCCACGGGCTTCACCAGATTGACTGTTCAAGGGGTGCAGGACACAGAAAGGTGAAGAACCCCATGTCTGGTGGAAAGGCCACCACAAATCTGTGTCCTAGGATTAAAAGGTCCAAGAAGCCTTGGGGTCCAGGTCTGGCTCCCTACTTACTAAGCCATATGACCTTGGGCAAGTGATAGGATCATAGAATTAGAACTGGAACCAGGGACCTTGTAGGACATAGGGTCCAGCAGCTCCATTTTATGGAAGAGAAAACTGAAGCCCAGAAAGGAATGAGCAGTCCAGGGTGACCGAATCAGGATTCAAACCCAGGTCTTCTGACTGTGTAGGACGTGTGTTCTATCCATGACGCCACTTCTCTTTTCTGGGCCTGTTTCCATCTCTGCAAAATGAGGGTGTTGGCCCAGATAATCTCAAAAGTCCCTTTCATTTCCGATTCCTACGATTTGTTTTTTGGACTTTAAAAAAAAAAGTTTTTGACTCAGCGCCTTAGTTTCCTCCTCTGGAAAACACAGGTTATGGTTTGTTGGTTAGGTAGGTATGGTTAGGCACCATATTGCAGAACCAAGGATTGAACATAGGAGAAAATGTTCTGTAAAGTACAAAACTCACACAATCACAGCTGGCAGGCCAAATGGTACCAAAGAATGTGAGTGGATGCTGAGGGCCTGGGGTTCGAATCCCACCTCTGCCATGTCTACCCGTGTGACCTGCAACAATTCGCTTCGTCTCTTTAGGGCTCAGTTTCCTTATCTGTAAAATGAAGGGGTTGGGCTAAGGTATCTGTCAGCTCTAATTCCAAGTTCAACGTCTTAATAGTAATAATTGTATTAATTTATTGCACTGACCAATACAATTAATTACACAGATTAATTAATACAATTAACTACATGAATTAATGTAATGAATAGAATTGACTGCGTTGATACAATTCATTACATCGATTAATATAATTGACTATATTGATTTTAATATAATTAATTATATTTATATGATTAACAAAACACAATTAGTATACAAATAATTTTTGTTGTTTAACTTCGTCACTTTAAAGAGCAGAAAACCGAGGCCTTGAATGGGGAAGCGGTTTGTCTGAGGTTGGGGGGCCGATCGGGAAGAGAGGTGGGACCGTAACCCAGCTCTCTTGTCTCCCAGCCTGGTGTTCTTTCCACTGTGGTACGTATTGCCCAGTTGCATTCCTACTGGGCCTTGCTCTGGGCAGACTCAGTGAAAGAAATCCTCAGCAGCTCTAGCTGAAGCTCCTAACCCCTCCTGGGGGACTTATCTTTTCCTAAGGAATCTCGCACGCTGAAAAGCCTTTACTGTCCAAAGGAATGAACCTTGATGGGTGGAATTTCAGGCCCTGTGCGAGGCAGTGGGGAAGATCTTTGGGGAGAGAGGTTGTCAAGGAGATGATATTTGTTAAGTCTTAGTGCCTGGAATATAGTAGGTACTTAATAAATGCGTGTTCCCTTTCTTCCCCTTCCTTCCAATCACTATCCATGGGATGGTCATGCTACTGATGTGAGATGACATCCCTCTTTTTCCTCCCACAGAACTGGTGAGGGAGAAGGTGGGGGGGAGGGGTACAGGACCTTTCTTTGTTGGCCATTCTTTCCCTCTAGGCAGCATTGTGTTGAGGAAAAAGCTCTGGATTTGGAGTTACAGGACCTGGGTTCAAATCTCAGCTCTGACTCTTACTACCCCTGTGGCCTTGGCAAATCACTTGGTTCCTCTGGGCCTCAGAATCCTTTGTAAAAATGTGCAGGTCACGGGGCAGCTAGGTGGTGCAGTGGATAGAGCCCCGGCCCTGAATTCAGGAGGACCTGAGTTCAAATCTGGCCTCAGACACATAACACTTAGTAGCTGTGTGACCCTGGGCAAGTCACTTAATCCCATTGCCTAGGCAGTCCCCCCCCGCAAATGCGCAGGTTGGACAAGGTGACCTCTAAAGTCCCTTCCAGGCCCAGATCTGTGACCCAAACAATGCCACAGATCACTACAATATAGCTGTGCATCTCAGGCAGGGTCCAGATGGCTGAAACCCAGGATGAAACACAGCCAGGGAAACCAGGCTCTCACAGAAATGCAATGACTTGCCCAGGGTCACCCAGCTAGCAAGCTTCAAGTACAGGATTTGAATCCAGGCCGTCCCCCTTCCAAGTTGCTAACTCCAGCTGCTACTCTGGGAGTTCAGAGACGGGGGCTGAATCTGGGGCTTGGTCTTCTCCTCTGTAAAAGCAGGGGGTTGGTCCAGATGGCTTTTGAGAGCTTTGCTCCCTCTGAAGTACTGCACTGGGCTGATTTATGGTGTCTGGCTCCCTTCCCCTTCTCTCCTTGCCTGGAGAAGGGAAGCACAACCCATTTGTGCCCCCCTCCCCACAACTTCCCAGCCGTCTGTCAACAAGGTCAGGAGGTATCTCTGAGTTTGTACTGAGGAAAGAGGGGCCCCTTGGCAGCCCTGGCTGAGCCAGGGAGAGACTAATTATCGACTTAGTAGAAGCCAGATCAGTGTAAGCAGACAGGATACTGGAGCTGAGGGGTTGCTCAAATGGGGGGGGGGTCTCCAAGGGAAGAGAAGGCTCAGGGGTGGGGGAGACTGGATTGTCATATAGTGAAGACAGTGATCGGGGTAGCAAGAGAAGAGGCTATGACCCAGAGGCCAGAGATGGGCAGAGCACTGAAGGCCTTTTCAGCTTGACATAGCAAAGCAAGGTTTTCCCCTCCTTCCCCAGAGCCAGGCTACTTTGTACGAGCCCATTGGAAGGGATATGATGACAACTAATTAAAAGTATTTACTAAATGCCTGCCATGTGCCAAGCACTGTGCCTAGACCTGCACCTCCAGCAATAATGGGCAATCCCTGGGTCCCTGCGTGGGAGTGGGGGGAATGATTGTTTCGAAGGCCTTATTTTTCACTGAGAGCATGTGCTCTCCCTCACGGGATATCTGACCTCATCTCAGAAGCGTTGGAAATCTAAACAGCTCGTGGTCCGCAGAGATTTCTTGGCCAAGGAAAAATATGAAGTCTCGCTTGATGTCACAGTTGAAACACGAAGTGAGCTCAACAGAGAAGAAACCTTCGAAATTCCACAGAATCACAGGATTTCAGAGTTGGAAGGATATTGGCCATCTGGCCCAACCCCCTACCTGAAAGGACTCCTCACTAAAACACACACAGAAAATGGGCATTCAGCCTGTTCGAGGATTAGTAATGGGGACCTGGTGACTTCTGGACAGCTCTAATTTCTAGGAAAATTTTCCTGATGTAATACCTAACCTTACATTAGGTTGAACTTTTATAATGATTAATTTCAAAAAATCTTTATCAGACCATTACCATGTGTGAGGCTAGAAAATAGTGTTGGACTTGAAAACCTGAGGCCTGCTGGCTGTGTAGACACGGCTAAGCCCAAACTCTCCAGCACCACAAGGGACAGAGAGGCTGCCTGTATTGGTACAAGATGGAGAGAGTGCCTGCAGAACCTTCCTCAGAGTCATGGGACTCAAAGGAGATCCCATACATCAATCTCTTTCCAAACTCAGAAGTGCTATATAAAGATCAGTTATTACCAACATTAGTAATCATAATATTAGCAGAGTTGGACCTTGAATCTCCAATTCTCTGGTTCCAAATCCAGTGTTCTTTCAAGGGCACCAAGTTCCAGCCTTTGGCCTACCACCCTAAAAAAGGAGAGTCTATCTTTAAATGGACCTCTCCATAGGAGAACTGAGTCCCAATTTCAAGGTTGCCTGCCAATAAGCGTGCTTGGCTAGGAAGCCCATCTCTTGCTCGACAGACGGATGCCCCCTAGTGGCCAAACGGAATGGTGCTGAGCGTGAAGTCGCCCGGAAACTCTGGGGACAGGGGACAGCAGCCTGCAGCCTGACTGTCCCGTACCGGGCCCCCACGGATGGCCTGGGTAACTGCTGGCAGATGCTCTTGAAACAAAACACTTCCAACACCTCCAAGAATTCGAAGTAAAAAGTGTCAACACCCTAGAGCGCATCATCGGTCAGCTTTCCTCTAAGAGAATGGTCAGAGAAGGTCTGTTTAAGACAGGGATCCGATGTGGGAATGCTCCCGAATTCCCTGGACAGAGACCGGCAAAGCCAGGAAAGGCATGGGGAAAGGCTCTGTGCCCAGGGTAGCAGGGGGCACAAGGGTTGGAGTCTATTTTTTCCAAAGAGCAAGTGATAATGTCTCCTTCCTCCCCAGGGCAGCACCTTGCCTTACATACACCAGTTAGTAAAAACGCCCCGTTTTGGAAGCAAACCCAAGGCTATTGGGGCTGCACAGGAGTACGGTCCCTCCTATAAACTGAGGCTTTCCCCGCGGGGTCTTGGAGTCTGCAAGGGGGACATGTGAACCTTCTTCCTTGTTCCTGGGATGATCTGAAAAGACTGAAAGCTCAGATACGCTGGGGAATTTCTTAAGCGGGGAGGGACCACCACGCCTTTGTGAGATGGTTTGGGCCTCACTCAGTGGCATCTGGATCAAGGCATCCGAGTTCTGAAATGGGCTTGTGCAATTCAAAATGACACACACTAAGAGAAAAAAATCAATCCCATTGCGTCTTCCTCTCGGTTACAGGAATCAGGCATCCTCTAAGTGCCTCCTATGGGCATGCTAGCAACCACACCGCTAGGAACCGGGAATGTGAGGCGTGACCCGGCTAGTGAAGGCAGCAAAGTGGCTGGGACCTCTGCGGGGAGCAGGGGTGGGGAGTGAATGACCCAAGAGCCAGAGCTGTTTGAGGACAGAGGAGTTCTTGTAGGAGTTTTATTATATCATATATGGGTGTATGTGTATATATACATAGAAGATCTGTTTTATGTACAATAATGGTTCTCTCAAACATTTCTACCAAGGCAATCTGTAACAATGTCTCTTTTCCCCAAATCCAACTCAGGTGCAGTTAAGTGCTAAATGAGAGTTGTCCCTTCTGATGAAAGCCATTCTGGGCTTCCTGCCATCTTCTGGGTCCTTCTTGGGAACAGACGAGGTAACACGGCTCACACAATTCACAATCTCCAGCTACAGCAGGCCTCGAGGCGGGGATGGGGGCAGAAATAAGCCCAAAGATAGAGAACAGAAGCTGGGCATTTCCCGGGGATGGATTAGAGCTTCTATGAGGACAGGACATTGTGCGTGATTATCACAAGGCTCTTTTATTCCTCGGAGGTGAGATCGATTGCACTGGAAGGAGAGACTGGAGGGCCTGGCCAGCGCAGGCCACAGCAGGGGAAGGGGCAGGCCTCAGTCACTACTTCTTCTCCTCCTCCTCCTCAGCCTCCTTTTTCTCCGGGGTGCTCTGCTTCAGTCTGTAGTCTGCCAGGGCAGCCTTGATTGCATCTTCAGCAAGCACTAGGAGAGAAGGAAGGAAGGAGAAGGAGGGAAGGAGGGGAGGGAGAAAGAGAGGGAAGGAAGAAAGGAGGGAGGA